GGTTCATTCTGAATTATTTCATATGATTTGTTTTTTTTAAAATTTTATTTGCAATTCAAACATTGAATATTACACGTTCTTTCTTTTTTTAACATTTCGCATTTTTTGTTATCATTAATATCATAAAACGAAAAACTAACATCCGTTTACTCTAATCCGACTCAATACATAAAATTAAAATAAAATACGATATTATTATAATTTTTATTATAGAAAAAAAATGCAGTATTGATATTGATTACAAAATCAATTATTGATGGATACATATTCTTATAAAAATATATTGATCGATTCAAGATATTTTTGTTTAGTCGTGATTTTTTCTTATTTTATTAGACAAGAATCATGCTGTATAAAATTATGTATGCAAGAAGTGTGACGACATGTATTCACACTGGAGAGAGAAATTTAATATAACAAACAAACGATTTCTTTTTCTTTCATGTTGCTTTTATCAAACAACGACTACATATAGCGGAGAAAGCTGTTTTTTTATCGCTTCTCCGTATTGAAGTTATTTCGAATAGACTCTATCAATAAGCAATGATAGAGACAGCAGCGAGTCTGATTATTATTAGTACTAGTGCTATGGCCGTGGCAGTTAGTACCATAGCTGAAATTGAATTTATTTTTACTCCACAAAAAAATATAAATCAAACAGATGAGAAACAACATGAAGAACTATGCAAACCCGATTGTCATCCTATGTATGTGTACGGTGTATTGGGTCACTATCCACAGCCTTTGATTCCAATGTCTCGAAAGGAAATGTGAAGTATATTATTCTGATTATTAAATATTCTTAAACATATGCGTTAGCTATAATAAAACCAATTGTAAATATATTAATATTCTTTTCTTTTAATTTTATATTATAATTCAATCATTTGAATCTTTATCTCAAGATTCATCTAGAATATTGTTTTGTTAATATGAATAACATAAGAGCTTCACCAGTTTATACAAAATCTACACAATCATAAGATACTCATATTGATGCATTATTTATCTTGTAATTTATTCTTTCTTATTTTTAAATGAATAATTTTTGCGTCGTTAAGTTGAATTAGGTGAGAATAATCGATAATACATGTGCGTATACGTACCTCAACTAGACGATATAAATACATCTGCAATAAGACGGATCATTTTTTCTATATACAACTTTTGTACATTGTGTAGTTATTTCTTTTGTTATTGTTCTAATGTATTTTAACTTTCCAATTTTATAATAAACGAATAATATTGATATTAACATATTCGACCCGATTCAGTTTTCGTAAAATTTTTTTCAGATTGTTCATTTTCGTGAACAATCATCTTCTAATAAATGCACATAATGACCTTTTGGCTATATTCTACTGGTTATTTGTCGTTCTCTTGCTTATACCACTACACAGTGAGTCATTTTTTACTGACCAAATGAATAATCGCTCAAGTCAGTTTTTCGTTCTTTTGTATATTATATGAATCATGTCTGAGAAAAAGAAGGATCTACGCGCAATGTCGGCAGACGGTGCACTGGCTGCTATGAGAAGGGACGAGCCCAACAGTCAAGAGAAGCCAGCCGTGCGGCAGCAAAGAAAGTAAAAACTTTCTGTTCTGACTGTAATAAATTTTTTTGTCTTGAGTGTTTTAATGATAAGCATGATGTTATGGAGTAAAGAACTCAAATAAAGTACTAAAGGCAGCACAGTTGACTCCTTATATTTAGCCTCCTACTTAAGAAGAAAAGCAAAAGAAAATGCTTTTCTATACAGTTTCTCGTTAAACTATAGCGTAGCCCACCGGTGGGCTACATCGGGTCGAATGTGTTAATGTTGTTTCAGATTTCTTAGTGGAGAATGGTGTATGTTAACAAATATAATGTAAGGCACGTTTAGCACAGTGATCATAAGGACGTCCATAGTAATCCACATTTGTCCTAATATATAGATCTCAAATAGTCACAGATCAGTAGCACTATATAAGAGGTATAAGTGATGAAAAGATCAAAATTTTCTGATAGATGGGTGAACCTACATGAATAAATGAATGTTGGGACATCCTTGCAGTTTGTCACGCCCAACTGTAAGCATCATTTTCAGGTTGATCAACTGTCTAATAATAGTATTATAAATCAAACACTGTTTCGATTCTGGTTAATTTCAGCCTTAGAATTCAACAATTTGTCCTTAAACTCAACAGTCGCTTTCCAGTTCGTTGTTGCTCTCATCTCCAATATATAATTGAAAGCGGAAAGAGCTTTTCAGCATCTCGCAGAACTAAGATTGAGATCCATCATATTTAGCGTAGTGTCTGACCTGTAACGTCATTCTTAGACACTTGATTGACCCTGACATGATAATGGCGAGCATATTTCTCGAAGTTGTATTTCTGGCAATAATTTTCTTGAAATCAGGTTTCACTCATCATAAATCTTCAATGCAGAACTAGAAGTCAATATTTTCAATGACAAGATCAACAATAAGAAATAATAGAAACGAAATGCTCATATCGAAGATATCAAAGAAACATAGGAATGATCAAAGGAAGGAGAATAAAACAAAGCTTGTTAGCGCAGCTCTTTTGAAGCTGAAATGTGCAACGCACGTAAATTCTTCAACCTTGTTATCTTGGTACATTATCCGTGCATTTTGCGTTTCAGAGCATCCTATTTGATTTATAATTATTGCTATATATTCGTTAATAGTCACTTTTTTTGTTTTTTTTTGTTAATTGGAAATTATTATTGTTTTTTCACCATTATCGATTTGATAAATAAGACTACTACCATAATACAGTTTATATGCATCAGCAGTCATTGCCACATTACGATATATCCCATCAATCCATAAGTGGTGATATTGTTTAGCTTTCACACTGATAAACAGATGGAATCATACTTTTCATGTTGATTATATGAATGCTATGACAGATCAATATATATTATTGCTCTTCATCCTTGATTTTTAACATACAATTTTAAACTCTAAAAGAAGTCAACGATTACACTATTAAGAACTTTAGGAAATGTATAATAGTTATTTTCAAATAATTATGACAGCATTGAAATATTATATAGAAGTCAACTCATATTTTTCATACTGTTAAACTCATTTTTTGTTAAACTCACGTATATTTTCGAAGAGAATAGCAAGTGAAAATTTTAAAGGCAAGGTTTTCCGGCTTTCCGTCCCGTCACCCCATTACAGACACCTCTCCATTACAGACCTCAGCGACAATGCACAAAAGATTTCAGATTCTACACAATATTCTAATGCATTGATAAATATTTGAAAAAAAAAAGTTTTTTTAGTTTACAAGTAATGCATTATGATAACAAACTAGAAGGATATACGTGAGTTCCACATTTCAGCCTCAAAGAATTAGGCTGAGCAAAAAGTTCGCGGTCAGATCACGTAATTTGTGAACACAGAACTTCTGTATTTTACATAGGAATTTTGTTCACAAATTACGTGATCTGACCGCGAACTTTTTGCTCAACCTCGTAGTTGTGCTAACAAGCTTTTTTTATTGTTAAATAAATCTAAAGCTTTTGTGGACGGTTGCTGAGATCTGTAATGAAGTGGGTTGACGTCTGTAGTGGCGGAGAAGCTGCAAAAACTTGAAGTTAAAAATGACACTCTACTTTCTTTAAAAATATACGTGAGTTACATAAAATCTTTCTTTGATGCATTTTTCTTTCTTTAAATATCGAAAAAAGTAGTCTAAACTGCATAAAATTAGTTGCGAGCCAAGCGCCGCACATTTCTGTTTGCTGCATATAAGAAAAATACGTGGCCAAACTACGATCACATCCGAACTTCGTTTATGACAATAGTCTAAGTTCGTAATGTATAGCATACAATAATCGTGATTCGTCGTAGTTTTTTATACAACCCCGACTTATAAACATGTATATAGTTTGATATTTCTATTATCGATAGACATTTAATTGCTAAACCTGGTTGAAAAATTCTATCTGTACCAAAGAACGCTATATTAACACCATATATATTTTTTCTATCCTCACATATCAACATAATCAAACTTCGCTCTTATCTTTTCATAGACTTTCTATTTCTCTCGAGATTCATAATGCCAATATTTATTTTGAGCAAGGAGGTTTATTTATACATAAATGTCTAGAGAATAATACTAGAGAAATATTAAATCTGTATCAACTAATAGTCTAGATTTCTACAGATGGTAACATCATATTCGCCGACTTAAATATCAAATAATTTTTGCTGCTCTGCTTTATACGAATGTCATCAATATAAAATAAGTTGTTTTTCTTAGAATCTCTCTTTAATAAACACGAAAATAATTTTTCTATTCCAAGAATAATACCCTCGAGCAGCAGAACGGCGAAAGCGACTCCATAAGTGAGTGTCGATTATATTTGACACACTTAATCGATCGGTTCGTTTCTATCAAGAGACACGTTTTATAGTTGTAAGAAAAGTTCTATGTATAGAGATTGGTATGATATCAAACGCCGCATTAAAACGGTTGATTTTTCGAATAGATTAATAGTTATTAGTATAGTTGTATATAAATAACGGGATCTAATTTTGTAAATATTTAGTGTAAAAATGTCATTAATCTCGATAAATGTTCCAACTTTACAAATCAATAACAACGATCTGACGCAATTTGTCAATTTTGTATACAAACACGAGCGACTTTTGAAAGAGTTTGGCGCAATAAAGATCCAACCGAATACCAGTTGTAAACTAGCGTTAAAGAAACGACGAAAAAATAATATGTTAAATCCAGCTATGGAACAGATTGTAAAGATAAGTACAGATGAACCTGTCTACTTAGTACAAAAAGTTGATCATATTGACGAGTCCACTTCACAAACGGCATTAGTAACAGATGAACATGATTTCTGGTCGTCATTATCTTATTCCAACAACAAGCGACGACAGACGAATATTTCAATATTGCACGATGCGAGTTTCTTTTGTAAAAAAAAGATATCTCGTTTATATTTTAACACTCAGTGTTTGCCTAACCAATCACTTCTGAAATTAGGTGGTAGGAAAGTGTTGTGTCAATTTGTTCCATCTTTGAGGAGAGCACATGGACCAGGCGCTATTTTTCCATTGACTAGTGCTCAACGGCATCTCTTCTCTGTTGACTATCATCATGAAGGAGGTGCACGTCATTGGTATATTATTCCTTCTTGTGAAAAAATAACTCTGCAAACAATAATACATAAGCAAAACTCATCAATTTGTCCTGATCATGGACAAATATTAATTGATCCATCAGTATTAGACAAATATCATGTTCGTTACCATCGCATTATTCAACATCCAAACGAATTTGTAATACTATCGGCTGGCACTCTTACACAAAGTTTCACAGAAGATGCAGGTTGGAGTGAATCAATCGAATTTGCTTTACCTAGTTGGATTAAAGACGGTCATGCAAATGTTTCTGTTTCACCGTGTCAATGCGGTATTCCAGTAGATTCTTTATCGACAACAACTGATGTTACTTTATTTACACATAAGCTTATACAAAGATACATTACTTCGCATCTCAATGTCATTACTAATGACAATAAATCAGTACCTTTGAACGGTTCACAATTATATCCATAATAGTCTTTCTTATTATTCTGTACGGTTTTAGATTACAATAATATCGATATGGTTACTATGTCAACACCAAACAGTACTGAAACCAATTTATCAAATGGTATCTGAGTTTTTTTTAAACTCGTTTTATATAATTAACTATACTTAAACTGAGCGTAGGAAAAGTAGCATTACTCAGATTCATTAATACTTTTGTTGATACTATTAGAAAGAATTGTTTCGAATTGTTATTAGAGACTCACTGGTACGTGTAAGAAGACTTGTAGAAAATGAGTTGTTTCTTCGATCGGTATCACATTAAAATACTATCGAGAGATATAATAAGATATAGCTGTTAGTATTTAAACAAGACATTGACTAGTATCGAATTCACAGATGAATACTTTCTGAGTAGTTGTATGCTAACTATGAAAACAAAGCTGCTATTGATACACATCAATCTCCGAAGTATTACTGCAAGCTATCACCTTCGATTCAAATATTGAAACTTTGTTTTTTTTTGACTTTCATAGAAAACACAATGCATCATTTTTTTTATTTAATCATTTAAAATTTTACGATATCTTGCTTTTTCGTTTGCTCAATATCGTTTTATTAACATATTCTGCGATACATCAACTAATATTAGTACTGAACCCCTTTTTATTGCAGCATCTAAAACAAAATTCGTAAAACGATACTGAGCAATTAGAAAAACAGTGGCTATTGCAGAGTTCAAATTATTCCAGAAAAACAAAGGATACATAGGTCTTTTTATGGCAATCGAAAAAACTGACTTTTTGTGATTCGGTCATAAGCAATATCTGTCAACATTATTTGTGAAGTTGGTCCGTATCAATACAAACTTTGCGTTCATAACTACCATGTGAAAGGAAAATAGTTGATTAATTTTCATAAAGAATAAACTGATATGAATTTACTTTTACGCAAGAGTTTTGAAACGCCCTAAAGCCCTTGACACATTAAACGACTTGCCCTTATATTAGAAGACCTCCCCATACTAGAGGACCCCACCCTTGGACAAACGGAAGAAAATAGAGTTTAGAAGATTCTGCGTAAACATTGTGCCTCTTTTTGTATGATTTCTAAGGCTTTTTGATCTTTTAAAGCATTTATGTATATGTTAATATATAATTTTTTTTAATATGGCAATATTTTGCTTTCATTGTCGTAGCACCATGTTAGCCCTGAATTGGACAACTCATGAGAAAAAGCTAATAGGAAAGAGCAGCTTAAAAAAACAAAGCTTTCTGTATAAAAAAAGTGTCTTGAGGTCACTTTAATGCTCATTGGTAGTATATCGTGAAAAAAATGCTAGAATTCTTTTGCGAAAATATTCAGGGGTGTGGCTGTATTAGGGTATCGGTGTGGGTATTAAAAGAGATAAATCCACATCCACATCCACGCCATCCTCACACCCACACCCCCTTATGACTTGTGAATGATAAGACAGAATAGAAGACCCGGAGTCTTCTAATGTGTCGAGGGCTTTACAGAATTTTGCGATATAGAGAATGGCTTATGAATATCAATTAAATTTGTGACTTTTCTTTTTTACTATAATATATTTGATTATGATTTAAATCATTTTCTATTGTAATTTAGCTGAAAGTATGTTCAAGACAAATATGCAACCCATCATACTATTGCAGCCAGTTACATCATCTTTTCAATCACCACCAACTTCATTGACAATGCCGCATATCAGGTGCTACTTCTCTAAAGAAGACATACAGAAGTCTAATGATAACAATGATCAATTATCAGATGAACTATTAGTGTGAATGAAACAGAGTAGAACAAATTATCTTTAGAATAATCAGAGTGTAATGGGCTTATTCCTGAGTATGGAGTTTAAGATGAAGATAGATACCAATACCTATAACTAGATACCCACCCAATCCATATCCTTTATGGTAGAAAACTTAATTGCTCTTAACACATTCGCAGCGATGTGGCCCACCGGTAGGCTATTCGATATTTTAACAAGAAACTGTATATAAAAGCACCGTTTTTTTGCTTTTGTGGAACTCACGTATATTTTCGAAGAAAATAGTGAGTGTGAGTTTTCAGTTCGAGGTTTGGCGGCTCCCCCTCCCTCCCCACCCCATTACAAACACATAGCAACGGGAAAGAAAACATTACAGACATACCACCCCACCCCCCTCCCCCAATTACAGACAGGCTACCATTACAGACCTCAGCAACGACGCACAAAAGCCTTCAGATTCTATACAGTATTCTAATGGATTCATAATTATTTGAAAAAAAGTATTTTTCAGTTTACGAATAATGTATTAGAAGAACAAATTGGAAGGATATACGTGAGTTCCACATTTCAGCTCCAAAGGAACTGCGCTGACAAGCTTTTTTTCTTAGACAGAAGGTTAAACAAGCAACATTCATCGACATCGGAGGTCGATTCACTGGGTCTTAGACTGACAGAAGGAGGGCAACCGGATGGTTGTATTTGCGGTCATTTGCGCTATGTAAATGGTAATTTGTACCACAAAACAGTCATCTATATCATGAAAATGATTGTTTATGCCGTAAAATTCTCATTTGGGCCAAAGAAATGATCATTTGTGCCATAGAAATTGTCGCTTGTGCCATCGAAATGGGCATTTGTGTCATGAAAATCGCCATTTTTGCAATGAAAATGATCATTTGTGCCATGGAAATGGTCATTTGTGCCAAGCGCTTGTTACAGACAGACAAGTAGACGGGCAAACAGACACAGGTGAATTAAGGTTTCTAGACCCTATTCTTTCAGTCCTTGGAACATAGTGCGTCATCTGTTTTCCCTTCACTATTTTTTTTTGAGTCCTTTATTTCACAGTATGATGCCTCTCGTTAAAACAATCAATCAAGAAAAAAAAGTGATCACAGTCAGAACAGAAGGTTTTTATTTTCTTTACTGTCGCATAGCCCACTTCTCTTGATTGTTGTTCCCTTCCCTTCTCTTAGCAACCATGACAACGTCTACCGACATTGCAAATAGATAGTTCATTTTCTTCGAGCTTGTGATCAGCTAGTTTCATTAGTAGAGAATGTACTCAGAACAGCATGACTTAGACTAAAGGTAAAAGGTATCAAGAACTCAAATGACGTAATTCAGAGAGAAAATGTCTATGTCTGATGCACTGCATCCATTGAATAAACCGCTAACATTTATATACATGAGAGAAATAATGAAAAGATGAAAGAATGCATTTATCTTCAGATAAATGAAAATGCATCTGTTAAAGCTTTATTCTTAGAAAATCGAATCGCCTCGAATGTATTAATCTGGACCATTAATGAAAAGCTGCTAGAGCAATCCTATGCGAGATTAGAAAATGTGAAACATGATGTAGCTGCTGATACCAATCTTCTAAAAACTGTCCTTTTTTTATGCATAGTAGGATACATTTCTTCATCATGACTTTCTTTACATTTATAGAGATTGAACAGGACAATACTTCATATATACTCCAATCAGTTTTTGTTATGCATTATCTTTGACATTTTCTTGAAGTCTTCTATTATAGTCTATGATGAATACTGAAGCCTGTCTGTCAATGTCTGTGATGGGTTCTCACTCTTTCTGTCACAATCTATGATGGGCACTGGGTTTCTGTATGATGGTCTTTGATGATCTCTGAAGCCTATCTGTTATGATCTGTGGGGGAAGGAAGGAGGGAGTGGATGCAAGTTTCTACTCCTAAACACTTCAACACTCTTTTCAGATAGTGTTTCACAAAAAAAATCCCAACATCCTCTATTACTCATATTCGTAAGGAACATGGGAATGAATAAAGAAAAAAACTGGACTTAGTAACATGAATGTACAAACATCCAATTACACCAAATATAAGAAATTAGGCAAGAATACTCCCAAAAACTAATTCAGAAATCGAAAATATTCAAAAACCAAGCAACCGCTTTGTCGTCGAACTGCGGTTACATCGCTTGGATGTTTGTGATAACGACTATAAAATCTTGAAAATTTTACGACCATCGACGGCTTGCCCGAGCAATTTATACCCTTAGTTTTGACTGCTTCAGATATAGAGGTATACAAGAATTTGCCAGAAAGAGACTAGGTCGCAATATTTAATAAGACATAGAGCATTAAACCTGTTATCTATCACCGCTATTTTTGGCTCTTTTCATTTCTCACTATTTTACGTAGTTCAAAAAATGTTCCACTTGAGATGTCGTCTATTATAACTCCTCCTACATTTATGAGAGAGACAACCTCAGGTAAGAGAGAAAAATTTGAAATATACATTTTCGAAAATACTATATCTCTGATTTAGATCAACATTTACAGGACATCTGTAAATCTTCTTCAAATATCAACGAGGACGAGCAGGCAATTTTCGATTTCGTATCTGAATTATCCTCAATCTTATTGGACCATCGACCACTCGCAGATGTTGAACACTTGCTGAACATGGAAATTTCGGCATCGCCAGCTTTGATGATCTCTTCTGAAATGCAAGCAGAGAACTCAGAAGCATTAGCTGAACAAAATGTCACTCTGTCAGTTCCTCAGGCATCACCACTGACTATTTCCAAGACGATCTTTGTCTCTCACTTACCAATCACAATAGATAATCGGCGACTTCGTACAGTGTTTCCCAAATGTCGCAAGATAATCTTCAAGAAAAACTATTGGAACAAGAATCTTAAGTTGTAGAAGTGCCAGTATTAGATTATGAATTATTTTCCTTGTATGAAACAGGTTCGCCCTGATTGAACATCGAAATTTTGCTGATGCTGAAAGGAACTTGTTTAGATTCCTTGCCTCACCTCCATCGGACGCTATTTTCTCAGGTGTTCAAGCCTGTTACGCAAGCGAAAGCAAGACAAAGTCAAAACCAAAGCCTTTTTCCAATTCACTGGCAGGTAAGTTTTGGGTAAAATTGAATCAGTTCCGATTCTCATGACTCTCATTTTCGGAATTAATTGATATTGATTAGAATTGGAATTACAATTGGTTGATATTGTAATCGAAA